ATATATATATATATGTATATATTTTAACAAGTGCTTAAATATGAACGTGTCGTTTTAAGCAGTTACTAAGCAGTTATGTGTCCCATTCGTCCATAAATTGCAAGAGAATAATATTGAACAGAGAGGAGAACGTTTAACGGTAAACGATGCAATTCCATTCGTTCTTGGTTGGTTGCTCATGTCAGTCGATTCAACTTCTTCAAGGATTTCGATTCCAGTCTAGTGACTTTCCTTTTTCTTTCTATTAATTATTTCGAATTACATAAGATTGTTTTTTTCATTTTTATTTTAAATCTAATCTTTGATTCGTTTGCTTATTTTTCAGTCGAGATTCTTAGCATTGAAAGTAAGAAAGAAAGTAAGAAAGAGAAAATGGTATATTGAATAAAAAAAAGAACATTAAAAATGTAATCAAAGTTCATTGAAATTGAAACGTTTGAAATCAAACGGGTTTTAGAAAGAGAAAGAGAGAAAGAGATTCTTTTAATCGTGGCTCGTACCGTTAACTTCGTAAAAGATTGAAAGAATATATAGTTAAAGTCCCATTAACCGAATTTACCAAAGATATACTTTTATCTCATTGCCTCGTTCCAATTCTTTGTTTCAATCTTCTTTGTCTTTGTCACTTAGAAAACCATTAGATAACGATTTATTCGATAATTACGGAACACCGCGATAAGAAAACACATACACACACACAAAGAATATAATCGCATTGATGTGTGATAATGGTTTTAACCCTTGATAAAGTTATCGTTGATTAGATTAAAAATGTTTGTTTCTTATTACAAATAATAATTGTTAGTAAAAATTATACCATTAGAAATGATAAAAAATAAACAAACTAAGGAAGGTTTTTGGGCATCAAAAAAACGATTTGAATAGTCGAATGAATCGGTCGGTAACGAGAGGACGCTCTTTTCATTATTATCATTGCGTCGTCGTCGTCGTCGTCGTCGTCGTCGTAGTAAAAGAAGTAGGGTGGGAAATCGAAGGTATATTGGATTTTTAAAAGGGGGTTTGGTGGGAGTTGGGGGGGTTAAGAATGAGAGAGAGGGAGGACCACCTGCAGACTTGGTAACACCAAGCAGAGCCTAGTGATCCAATATACTTAAATGGATTTCGTTCTACCTTTTACCGTATTTGTATGCAACAGACATAGACACAAACACACACAGAAACACACACACACGAATAACATACTTATGTATGGATGTAAAAGGGGCACAGGCACAAATATGCAAGTATCTAAGCAAGAAGAAGAGGAAAACTGTTGTGTGCCCGTTCGTTCCGAGCTATCCGGTTTGCCGACTGCCTGGCGCCGGAGAAACACGACCGAGGAAAAACATTTAATGCTCCTATCGAATAGCAAAGAGCTACTCTCTGGCTATGGGGAATTACCAAGAATCGGGGAAAGGAACTTTGGCTTCTATCATCGCGATAAAAACATCAAAACCGGTTATTTCTTTTTTCCCTCCCCCATTTATTTCTTTTCTTTTCTTGTCTTTTTTTTTTCCTCCTACGAATTACGTATGTTTCATATTATTATCGCACCGATTATTATCAAGTTCTCGCGATACGGAAATATATTATAGTCACGAGGAGATTTCATTTTTTTTCTTCTTCTTCTTCTTATGTTTTTTTCGTCGGAAGCGGAAATTAAGAAACCACTGACTTATGATTCATTTTTTTTTTTTTTATTATTCGGAAGTGATCTTATGAAAGAGATTTTTTTTTACTTACTCATTTGGATATCTTTGATGTGTCTCGGATGAATTTGTGTGATGTGTGTTACTGTGTTTTTACGATCAGAAGAAAATGAAGATGAAGATTTTGCACAAAAAAAAAAAAAAAAAAAAATAAAAAAAAATAAAAACCAGAAGAAACGAAGAAAGACGTACCGTTAAAAGCTTGACATCGTTCTGCTCTCACACACTCTCGACACACGATGCTTTCTAAGTTTTCCAAGCACTCTGGTGAAGGAATTTAGTACTGCATTCCAAGCTTTACTAAATAACAGGACATTATATAGCCCTTATCGTTGATCATTAACCCTCACGATGAGTAATATTTGTCAATTATTTAATCTTATGGGGGAATGATATTTTGGTGGATTTTTGTTAACGACTTTTGTATTTTGTCTAATGAATTATCTTTGATTTATGTATACAGGGTGATTCTTAAAACGTAGGCGGATAATAACTTTTTTTTTTTTTTTAAGTAACAATAAACAAAAATCATAGAGGAAAAAGTTATATGGCATAACAAGTGTCAACTTTCTATGATTTTACTTTTTTCGAAAATGCATCGATGCACCCGCTAGATGCACTTGCACTTTTTTTTTTAAATTGAATCTTATATTTTTTTTTTTTTTTACACTGTTCGATTCCTTTTTTTATTCTTCGTTAAAAAGTATTTAATGAAGATCATTGAAATGTCAATAGTTTACGAGATATTTGATGTTTTATATCAGCTATGTACAGGGTGATTCTTAAAACTAAGGCGGGATATAAAACAAGGAATCGAATAGTGTAAAAAAGAAAATATAAGGTTCCATTTAAAAAAAAAAATGCAGGTGACCTTAAAATCTTCCTCAAGTTCAAGCCAAAAAATATCCCTCATCATGCCGTATAAGTTGCGTACAAGAAATTGTTCATATTTTTATAAACAACGACAATATTCTAACTGGACAGAATTATTGGCCCACCCTGTATATATACTTATCAGTTTACTTATGATAACTATACCACTTTCTTTATTCTTCATCGCAACATCATTATTCACAATTTTATTTTCATTTGAAAATAATGATATTTTAATTGAAAACAAAGTACGAATAATTAATTCAAATTATAATGAAGATAAACAGATAAAAAAAAAAAGGAACTTTGAAACGTGATAAATATTTTATTTGATTTATTTTTTTTTTATTTCTCTTCCGTGATTGTATAAAAGTAAAAGGAAAATTAGTTGATTAAATCATGATTCAGTGATTCGGTAGATAACCTTTCCAGCTGTGAATCAAAGGTAAATAGAGTTTCTTTGTACAATCCAAGTTGATTAAAATTAAAAATATTTCTACGTCAAAAGGTAGATACAAGTTTATTATATGCAAATTGTTTTGCTCAAAATTAGTGAAGAAAATGATGAAACATAAATAATTGAGGAAGAATATATATATATA